ATAGTCTTGGCTTCTTTTTTCTTGCCATTCTGATTGAGTGTCCTTGGCTTTCCCATCCTCTGTATTGGTGGTTCGATCCTCTTCTTTATCCACTTTGTTGATTCCATCTAATATACTCTTCATCTCAGATAATGTGTTCTTCATTTCTGACTGGTTCTCTTTTATGATTTCCATTCCCACTTTTATGGTTTTTTTTATCTCTTTGTTAAAGTTCTCACTGAATTCATCTAAACTTCCCCCTAAGTTCATTGCGCATCTTTATAACCAGTGTTTTGAACTCTGCATCTGTTAGATTGCTTGACTCCGTTATTCCTGGATCTCTGCTCTGTTTTCTCATATGGTTTCTGCTTCTTTGTCTTTCTATCTTGGCTGCCTTTCCATGTCTGTTTCTATGTACTAAGCGAAGCTCTTAAGTCTCCGGTCTTAGTGTGGATTTGTGAAGTAGGTGTCCAGTGGCACAGTCTTGAGAGAGGTTCAGCTGCAGGCCAGATTTAGCCCACGTCTCTGCCCCTCCGGGGCCACTTGTTAAGATTCAGCATGCAATCCACATATGCTGTGCTTATAGTTGCCTCAAAAGGCCACAGTAGAAACCAAGGCCAGTTGCCTCCAGTGTGAGTCTAGGTGCTGCTCAGCAAGGAGCACCTGACTCTCTGTGGACACACCTGGATGTGGCTTGAGTGGGTCCAAGAGTTGGGGGAGGCAGAGTTTCAGGGCATCCTGGACTGAGCGACCTCTGTTATCCAGTTTGATGACATCACGGCTATCACTGTTGGGGTGGCACTACGTCCTCGCTGGGAGAGGGGAAGACTCAACAGGGAACAATGGATACCACCGGCATTTCTGCACAGAGCGAATCTCACCTTGGCCTGCCCTCTGACAATGTCTCTCTGTAAGTCTCTGGTTTCCCCTTTGCACAGCCGAATCGGCACTGGTGCTCAGAGCAAGCAGGTCCATCACCGTGAAAATCGCGGACGTAGCCCCTTTAAGAGGCTTCTGCAGCTGCCGCTGCTGCAGCCTCTGTCTCACTCAGTCGTTTGGACTGGCAGCCCTGTGTCCTTGCCCCATCCTACCTTCTGCCATTGCAGGGTGATTTCTTGTATTTCTCCCTAGTTGTATGACTTGTTCATCTAGATCCCAGGTGATTTTTCCTTGTTGCTGCTCCTTGTTTCCATCACAACTTTGATTTGGTCGCCAGGGAGATGAACAGAGCCTCTATCACCTACAGCATTTTTTTCCTCATCACTTTTTTTTTTTAACAGTTTTTTTTTCCATAAAAATGTTACTGATATTAACATGTTTAGTATTATTTTTAAATAATTTATAATACAGTATATGTTGATATGTTATAGTTCACATAAACAAAAGTTCATTGGACTCCTCAGTAACTTTTTGGGATGTAAAAGCGTCCTAAAAATTAAAAGATTTGAGAAATTTGGGGCTGGGGCATGGATAGCAGAGGTGCTTCTTCCTGAGAAACAGAACTGAGAGTTAAGAGAGATAAAACTAGGGCCCTGAAGTAGACAATGGGAAAGTTGAGAGAATCATTGCTCTGTGGATTTAAGCCAATCTTTTTTGTCAACGAGAAGACAGGGTCATTTTTGAGAGTGAGGTTATACTGGATCAGAAAGGTGGATTGGTAGAGCCTCTTTTTTGCCCTTAAATTGTTTATCTATTGAGAA